TATATAGCCCAGGCTGGCCTCAAATTCACAGTGATCCTCCTGCTTCAGTGCTGGGATTACAGGAGTGCACCATCACACCAGGCTGTATATGTAAATCTGGAATCATTTTATAGTTAGCCCTAAATATTTCAGGATACAACTCCAAAAATAAAGAACATTTTTGTACACAGCCATAACACAATATTATATCTAACACTTCCCTATAATTAATCTATACTGGATTTTTTTTTTTGAGAGAGAGGTTTTCACTAAGTTGCTCATGCTAGGCTTGAAGTTATGATCCTCCTGCCTCAGCCTCCAGTAGTACTGGCATCACAAGCATGGCTAGGAATTTCTTACACTATCACCAATCTTTTTCTGAAGAGTTTTCTTCAGACTGGGATCTAATCAAATTTCATGTACTACAATGGCCGTGTCTCCTCAATGCCTTTAGTTTTTAAATTTTTTTTTAATGTTGAATGTCTTCCTTCTATTTTCAGGATACTGACTTAGTATGTTCCATCTTCTGGGGTTGTCTTTCTCTCTCAATGTGGTATTTTATTTTGGGTCATTATAATAAAGTCATATGAAAACCATTATTTGCTGTAAAACAGTTGTTGAGGATGGTTCCTTGTCTGAGTTCCCCATATAAATTCCAGGCAAGAAAACTGAACTAGGATTCAGAATGAGGAAGAGTTGTCTCTTCCTCCAAACTGGCATTTGTTTTTCCTGATGAGAGCAATGAAACTCACTCTCTTTTTATTTGAGAAGCACACAGTGAAGGGTAGGGGTGCAGCTCCGTGGTACAGGATGCTTAGCACACACAAATCCCTGGATTCAATCAATCCCAGTGGCCTGAAAACCCCCAAAACAAAACCATGTACTTTCCACAGTAACTGTGGTATATTCTAGGGCTATCATGTGTGCCCCCCAAATCCAGCTTCTGCTCTGTTAAAGCTACAGAATATCTTTTATTATGTTGGGTACCAGGGACTGAACTCGGGACCGTGTGCTTGTGAGGCAGGCAGTGGAATCACTGAGCTAAATCCCCCGCCCCTATATCTTTTATTATGAATGCTTTTCGAGTCCTTTTTTGTTCTAAACAGGCAGGATAAAAGTAAATCCAGCTGACTTTGTCAAGGCCTTGTTTACCTTAAAGCTAGGAGACAGGAGCCTGCCCAAAGGGGCTTTAGGGCCAGCTCCTTTCAGGAGCCCCCAGAGAGCACACTGATCCTTGAGGAATCACTTATGCCAGAATCCCTCTTTTGAAATGAACAGGGCCTTCACACTGAGGTACATCTTCAGCTTTATTTAATTTTTGAGACAAGGTCTCACTAAATTACCAAGGCTGGATTTAAACTTGTGATCCTCTTGCTTCAGCCTCCTAGAGGTTGGGATTACAGATGTGTACCACAATGCTCAGCTTGCTTCCTTCCTCCCTTCCCTTTCCTTCCTTTCCTTTTTTGGTCATGGGGATGGAACTCAGAGTACTAAGCTACTTTCCCAGTCCTTGCATTTGGAGGCAGAGTCTTGCTAAGTTGCCCAGGCTGGCCTCAATTTGCCATACTCCTGCCTCAGCCTTATCCCTAAGTAGCTACGGTGTTTGCCAATGCCCCAGGCTCTTTATTTCTTAAAATGATGTGGCTACCTTGGATTACTTTCAGTGCTCCCATATATAACTACTGATATTCATCCTTTGTTCACCAAAGAGTGTACAGGCCTGGTGAGAGAACCAAGAGGAGTCATTTCTGCTAACCCTCGGAGCGTGGGACGGACAGATTCCTTCCCTATGTCCTTGGGGCTCCCAAACCTCTGGATACTCAAGATCCTACACACATGCTTCTAATGGGGTCCTTAACCTTCATGGAAACTGACAGCTAAAAATACCATGAGGTCTAGTTTTAGCAACTATTTATTAAGTACTTATTTATGTGCCAGAGCTTAAATGTATTGTCTTATTTCATCCTCACAAATTTTTCACAATACAGTATAAGCCTTAGTGTCCACATTTCTTTCTCTTTTTTGGTACTGGGGATCAAACTCAGGACCTTGCTTTTGCCAGGCAGGCACAATGCCACTGAGCTAAATCCCCGGCCCTTAGCGTCCACATTTCTTAGAGTAGAAATCAGGTTCAGAAATGCTGAGTAACTTGCCCACATTTTCAGAGCTACTGCATGATGAAGCCAGGATTTCTTTGTTGTAATTTTGTGAGACAGGCCTCGCTACGTAGTTCAGCCTGGCCTAGAACTCACTATGCAGCCCAAGCTAGCCTTGAACTCACAGCCTCCCAAGTGCAGGGATTACAGGCGTGTGCCACCATGTGTGAAGCCAGGATTTGAACCTTTATCTATGGTCTCAACTCATTCTTTAATAGTATGCTATACATTGTGTTTAGTTTCCTGCACGGCAGAAAATCAGAGAGGTGAAGAATACTGCTGCTTGACTCTGAGGGGAATAGCACTATTTATTAAGCTTTTGACTCCCTCACACACCTAGGCCAGTCTGGGGTTGTAAGGTGGGTTGGTTAATTCTGCTTTCTTCTTGGCTCTAGGCTGAAGTGGCTTCTAGGCACCCAGCACCTGTGGTGCTTGACAGCACTGGGCAGCGGCAGTGGCAGTGGGTCACATGGCTTCCTCCTAGCCAGCCCGCCACACACCACACCAGCACCCTGAGGACCCTATGGCTCATAAGAACTCAAGGCTTCTTCAGCAAAAGGCATCTGGGCCAGGAGGGAGAGCAGTGTCCTGCCCCAGCATCCTGACTGTCAGCGCTACAGTGTACACCTGCAACAGGAGGGGCTTCATCTGGGTCTGGAGATTTTAAGGGCAAGAAGTGATAACTTCAGTTCACTGGTGGTGCAACTTATAATTCCAGCACTCTGGGAGGCTGAGGCAGGAGGCTCACAAGGTGGAGCCCAGCCTGGGGAATTGAGCAACTTAGTGAGATTCTGACTCAAAATAAAAAAATTAAAAAAGGGCTTCGCTCTAGCTCAGTGCAAAGGTTCAACCTCCTCAAGAGGTGACAAGCTGGGACTGGGGTGCAGCTCAGAGGTAAACCAGGTGCTACCACTACTTCACACTAGTATGCACAAGGCTCTGGGTCTGATCCCCACCACCACAAAAAACAACCAAATGAACAAAACCCCAAAAACTTAGGGTTCCAGCCTGAGCTCCCAGGAATCCCTGAAGTTCTACACATACTTTTGTTTGTGTGCCTCTGTATATCTTTCTGGGGAGCAGGACCCTAACTGTAATCAGATTTTCAGAGAGGAGCCTGATCTCTAACAGTTAAGAATCATTATTTGGGGACCAATTCACATAACATTCTGCTTATTTAATATTAACTCTAGCTGGTTTGAAATCAGCGTACCTCTCCTAGGAGGTTTTGGTTCAAGTGGCTTGGGACCTAGCTAGACTGTGGGAAAATGTTGAGTGAGTGGGAAATGTGTCACTGATTAACCAGAGAGGTTTAATGTAGCAGTTAGGAGCCCACTGTCCACATCCAGAATGATTCTGGTTTCAACAGTAAACCATAACCCCACACCCCTGCCTGTGGCCCCTGGATCATATTTCACTTCTATCTCCAGGAACTTGACTGTTCTAGGTGAACAATGACATGGAATTGTATGGTATTTGTCCTTTGCTCCTCTCTAAAGCCCCAGCTCTTTCTACTACACAAGTAGTGATCAGTTTTAAATCAATACCCTCTTAGTTACTATGTAACAAAGGATCCCTAACTGTAGCAGTTTAAAATAAACATTTACCCTGGGAGTCAGGAGTCTGTGGGTGGGTTGGCTGGGTTGGCTGGGTTGGCTGGGTGGTTCTGAGCAGTCTCTCTCCAGGCTGCCCTGGGGCTGTGGAATCCACTCAAGGCCTCAGCTCTACCCTGGCTGCTGCTGCTGCTGCTGGCTTGAAGTCTCTGGTCCTCCCATTGGGCCTTCCTCTATGCTGCCTAAGTGCTCTAGTGACACAGCAGCCGGCTTTTCTCATGAGTGATGGAGAGAAAAAGGCACAGAAAGAGAGGGGAAGAGGGAGAGGAAGGAATAAAGGAGAGGAAAGAGGAAAAGGACAGAAGTAGAGTGGCTTGGGGAGGGGCAGGGATTTACTCAGTGGTGCTGCCTGTGCCTCACCAGGCAAAGTCCTGAGTTCAATTCCCAGTACAA